AGCAGGAAAATGATGCAACTGAGAAATGCTTGAACTGCAACTCCACTTCATAAAGATTTAATAGGTATTCTCTTTAAGAAACCTTGACTATATCTGCTGTGTGAGTTCTTCCAGATTACACTTACCTATAAATGCATACACCAGTATTGTAGGCACTCAGAAGTGATAAAACCTTTCATATTTTCCCCTGATGACTTAGCTCACTTTAATGATGATGACTGGATGCATATTTAAAGACTTTTGTTTTTTCTCATGAGGAGGACAGTCACGCACTGGAACAGATTGCCCAGAGATGATGTGCTGTCTTTGTTCTTGGAGGTTTTCAGGGCCCAGTTGGAAAATGCCTTGAGTAACTTGGTCTGATCTCGTAGCTGACCCTCCTCTGAGCAGGAGTTTGGACTAAAGACCTCACAGAGTCCCTTCCAACACCAGTTAGTAAAAGTCTTACAGTAATTATGTCCCGTAGAACAAAAGTTGGAAATCTCATCACAAGGAAAACTTCCTACGTTTCATAAAACATGTCTTTGACTTCAGTCTAGCTCTGCAATTTCAACGGAGTACTCTTTAACAGAGGTAAAACATGGCAAAATAGGAAGTTACAAACCAGCTTCTCCTGGTAACCCAGGTGGACCAGGCATTCCTTTAGAGCCTTTGAAACCTCTTATTCCTTGTGGTCCATATCTTGGCAGTCCAGGAAGCCCCATCTCTCCAGGAAGACCAGGACTGCCAGGCAATCCAGGTAGTCCTCTATCTCCTTTTGAACCAGCCAGTCCCTATGAATGATTACACATGTTGGACATGTCAGTTCTCCCCGCTTTTGTGACTGCTCCCAGCCCTGACTGATGAATAACTCCTACAGATTGATCAGAAACTGTTTGCATTATTATTTCCTCTTAAGCATTATAAGCAGTCAGGAAAACTGTCTTTTTAAAAAAAATCTTATTCATCACAGGAACTCAGGATAATGCTTCAATATAAATATCCAGACTAACACCACAACAGGCTGCTGTGGTCTTTCAGCAATAAGTAACCACACCAGCCTCATCTCTCTGGTATTATATAAGGACATTTACTCTTTCTGTCATGCATGTTCATTCCTGCAGTTGAGCATAGTACCCCTAAGGCCAAGGGCATTCAGTTAAAGCATCTGAATAAATAAACTGTTGTACAAGACAGAAATACTGACGCAGGTTTTCATGAATCCTGTATTGATTGTGAGCAGTGCATACCCACCTCTTCACCTTTAGAACCCTTGGATCCTTTAGAGCCAGGTCTTCCCAGAAATCCACTTGAACCTTTTCTTCCTCTGTCTCCCCTGGCCCCTGGATCTCCTCGCTCACCTTTCGGCCCTTCTGGATACACATATCCTGGCTCACCTTTTGATCCTTTACGACCTTGATCTCCTCTAAACCCTGGAGGTCCCTGGAACAGAGCAAGCAAAAGAATTTCAGTGCTAGACATGTGCCAACTGTTTTCAAACTTTCTTTTTAAAAAAATTAAATATCTGAGAGTGGTTCTCTTTACTCTCATCTCTACTCGGTGTAATGGCACACTTCAATGAACAGAGGTTTTTCATATTTTGGTTTTCTTTGTGTTTGCGATTTTTTTTCCCCCAGACTGTTAGTCACCCTGTTGTGCTTTGCTGGCACAAAAAAGGACAAGAAAGTACCTCAATATCTAATTAAGAGGTTTCTCTTCCACATGGGAATATCTCCCCAGTGACACTAAAACTGCCACAGTTGGTTCTGTTCATAGTTAAAAATCTTTCCCTTCCTTCCCCCCTCAGGGTACAAAGTGGGTGCTACAGGCACAAGTTAGAACAACAAAATGGCATGTCTGTGGCAGCAGCTGCCAGCCTTCCCTCTTCATAAAGTTTCCCAGGAGGGAATGTCCTTTGCATCCCTGAAGAGGGCATTAGGAGAAGCACAGCTGGGGCTTTAGCAAGTCCTGAGTATGCTGGAAACAAGACAAGTCTGATGACAATTGCAGCACACTGAACTCTATACATGCTTTACAGCCACTGCCCTGATTAGAGAACTACACAGATGAACAGAAGTTAATTGTAAACTGCCCGTGTACCAGGCAGAAGCAGCAGGCTAGCCATCATGAAACAGAGCACAGGTTAATCACACAGGTATTTACCTGCCTCACTGCCAGGACTGAACATCTTGCTGCACTGAGCAAAACACACTCATGTCAAGCCAGGTCAGCGAGACACTACGGTCCGTGCCCAGGCCTCCCGTGCAGACACACACGGTGCTACAGAAAGAGAACTGCTGAGGTCACCCAGTATGACACTGCTTGTAACACCAGGCATCAGCTTTATCTGTAGTAATTCTTGTGGGATCTGAACGATAATATGAAAAACCAAAGTCTTACTTGAGCTCCTGGAAACCCTGGTGCTCCTGGCGAGCCTGGAGAACCTTTTGGACCTGCTGTTCCTTCTCTACCTGCAAACGAAACAGCATATTTTGTAGAGAAAAATGAAAATAAGGACACAGATTTTGACAAGCTCTGATAATCACACCCAGCATCGAATGTTTCTGCTTGTTGCACTGACTGCATCATCACAGACTGACCTGGCTTCGGGCTGCACCTAAGCCTACTACCATTCCGACTTCACCGCTTTTAGGGTTTGTGCTCATGCCAGCGGATGGAGCTGCACCAGGCGCTCACATCCATCACCACCTCAGAGCTAGTTTAAGGACTGCACACTTCTCGCGCTAAAGCAAAATCATTGGCATTTCCTACAGTCCTGTTAGAAACAACAAGATAATTTACCGGGCATGCCAACCTGGCCCTGTGGCCCAGGAGAACCAGGAAAACCAGGTACTCCTGCAACGTAGCTGCACTCAGTACACACGTAAGCTTCTTCACCTGGAATGAAAACAGTTTATTAGGCTCATTCTAAATCTTAACCAATGTGTTACACAGTTTGTTACACAGGATGGCTAAGACCTTTTAGCCAGCGAGCAGTAGAATCGCGGCCTTAATTTTGTTGGAAGATCACTTCCAACACAGTACAAAATTACGTCGTGGGCAGACAGTGAATCAGAAGTGACTACGTCTGATTGAAAATGCAGGGATATTCCGTTTCAATCTCTTGATTTTTTCAATTCTTGTTTCAGTAAACCATTTGCTGCTAAGCCAAATTCTCCCAAAAGAAGAACAGGACAGGCTTCCAACTAACATGACTCTGTAACAGCCTAGGTGAATTCAGCGACTACAGTCACGTCAGTGGCAAAGAGATTCAGTAGCCTCTCTGGCAAAATTTGCAGAGGGAACCTTCTCTCTGATAACAATGGTTAGTGTCGAACATAACAACAGGAGAATACCAAACCCCCACCCATGGTGCGGTGCTGTACAACTGGTGTGCAGCACTGGCGCAGGCACTGCTCTTCCAGTTGCTGCTTAGTGTAAGGGGAGGAAGACATCTTGTTCTCCCTAATGGATTTTCTGAAATCTCTGAACTCATTAAATGTCTTAAATGGTAAACTGAATGCAAAACTTAGTGGGTAAATTAAGTGCAAAATTAAATCCACGAAGATCACTGGATTCTACACCTCCTTCTGAGTGACAGTTTTCCAAAACTGACCTTTCATGCCGACATCTCCTGGAGGTCCTGGAGGTCCTGTACGCCCTGGCTCTCCAGGAAGTCCTGGTGAGCCTGTTCTAAATGTTACCCCGCCTGGTAACGAAACGAGCATGGCACTGTTACATCGGCACATTATTCAGAAAATTCTCACAATTCCCTTCTGTGGAAAGTCTTTATATTTTACTTCAATCCACTTAATCATAACTCCTTTACCACAAATGGAAGGGAAACTTTTTTCCTTAACCCTAAGCTGTTAATGGTGCTCACGTATCTTTGGCAGAATTCTGCTATATTTACCATTACTTTGGAGAAACAGAACATGCATGGATCTCTCCTTAAGGGAACATATTTAGGGGATAAATATAATCTTCAAAGACAGAGAAAAGAGAAGCACTACCTCGATACTGGTTCAGAAAATTGTTTTGGCCATACCACAGGCTGCTGCTTTATTTTCATGCTGACAGAACTTCAGACCTGCTCTAAGGCCCACTAAGATCTCTGGACATATGCAAGTGATTTCTCTAGCTTTCAGGTTAGCCCCTTCTGAACCTAGTTCTACTGATTTTCTACAGCTTCTGGAAGAGTTACTTTTAAGAATAGATTTCCTCTCATTAGTCTTTCCTGGTTTTCTGTAGCTAAATTTTACAGGCACAATTATACAAAAAGGTGAGAAATCTTTATATTGGGAAGTGATTGTATCTTCCCTGCAGGATCTCAGCATCTCGCTCTATACATGCTTTCATTAATATTCTAAAACAAAACGTCTGAAATATATTCTATATACTCTGTAAGGAATGTATTTACATCATCTCATACATCAGCTACTGGACTTGCTCTTGTTCACTACATACATAATCCTGAGACATCACCTGGTTCTCCTGGAGGACCTGGTAATCCAACAGACCCAGGCCTGCCAGCGACACCAGGCAGCCCTGGAGGGCCTACAATACACACGCCAGATTGTCCTTTCTCTCCTTTTATTCCTCTTGGCCCAGGAAATCCAGGGGGGCCTCTCAGACCAGGTCTTGTCACACCTAACCAAAGAGGAAAAAATACAAAAATGAAGTTAAAGAAGAAATGGAATTTCAAAGCAAAGTAAGAATAGGGTGAGTGGGAGACACACACTGAGTTCACTTCACAAATCTTTTTTATCTTGTAATGTATCAAATAATCACAATGAGAATGTAAAGACGTGTAAACATGATCTTTAATCTCTCTTTAAATACTTGGCCCATCCAAGTTTTGGGTGACAATGTTTTACCACATAGAGATAGGTTAAGATTCCACAAAGCTGATTCAGTCCAAGGGGCAGGAGGAACAATGGATTTTGTTGGTGGTGCTGGATCATTGCACGTACCTGGTCTACCAGGAACTCCAGCAGGACCCTGTGGCCCTGTAAAAGCAACATATTTAGAACTTGAGTTAAAATACTGTATATTCTGCAAAATCATGACTTAATAATATTGATGGGAAATTTGGGTCTTCTATATTTTAAGCTGCCTTTTTTTAAAAAAAAAGAATTTAGTTTTGCCTGTGTAGGTATCTGCTACTTAGGCAACTGTTGCATACCAGTAATTCTCACTGAAATCAGGCAAGACATGGATGTGTACAATAGGTAAGAATACATTTTAATTTTACAGCATGGCCAAAATAAAAAAAGTAAATATTTGCAGATTGTTATTATTTTGGAATGACAAGCAATAAAAATGGTATGAGATAAACTATGAGAGCTACGAGAAAAAAAAAAAGGGAAAAAGAAAGAGAAAAAAGTGCATTAACAGAAGACTTATAGCCCTGATGGTTTGTCTATGGCATACACAAAAAATGTGCTGATGTAGCAGTCCACTAAGGTCATGAGACAGGATGTCAGCGAGCTGAGGTGCTCAACTCAATTACATGCACAAAGAAGTGTGCCAGCTTCATGATTTTCAAGAGGAAATACGGCCATAAAGCAAAGCCTCGGGATACATTTCAGCTCTGCAACTTGCTGGGAGTAATTTGCAACTACTCTTGTAAAGGCAGAAGCAGGTTGCTGGGTGCTCAAAAAGCCAGCCTGCAAGAACCCCCTTGAGTGGGCAGCTCTTGCTAAAGGCTCTAGTTTCGGTGTCCCACTCACCAGGCATGCCACGTTGACCTTTTGGTCCTGGAGGTCCGGGGGGTCCTTCATCTCCTTTTTCACCAACCACAATATCATAATACTCCGTCTTAAGAGAAAGATGTTACATTTGGTTAGAATAATGTTACAATCTTATTCTTAATTTTGATGTTGTAACACCATGAGACCTTTCTAATCACATGGTAATTACAAGAAGCCAGAAATGAAATCATAATTGTTACACACTGATAATGAAATTGTACTCATAGCATCTCTTCCTCTCTTTAAAGAGTCTTCTCCAGATTTTAAAATTAACACCACGTCTTCTGGAACTGATTACAGATTGGTTTAAAAATTAATTCCCCAGAACTTTTGTAATCTCCTGCCAAAATTGCTGGGACAGAGTTAGGTCTTTAATGGGCCTTGACCATGCACCCAGCTCCACATACAGGAATTTGCAAGACTGCCCGCCAACACCAATACTTTGAGAAAGCCATACCTCAATTAGAGCATCACAGGACATCCATTATTGCCTAGTACAGTCAGTCTGGCTTATTCTTATTCTCATGGTTTACAAAAATGCTGTGATGAAAATCATGTACACTTACCTGACCACAAGCTCCAGGTGGACCAGTGCTTCCTTTCATCCCCTTCATCAGAGGACAGAGATGGGGGTTTTTATTAAAAACAACACGACATGACATTTGGTACCCGCTGTTACTTCAGTACACTGCTCATAATATTAAAGAAGTCCTTCTGCTCCTCCCCGTTCCTTACACAACTGTTCAGCCACATACACCTAAAACTACAGGAACACATCAGCAGGCACAGATGGACACCAGTTCAAACACACGATCTACTGCAGCCGATCCATTCCCTATTGCATATTATCATTACTTGTGATAAATAAAATGGCATAACAACCCCCAAACAGACCCCATCCTCATCCTCAAAAGGAACAACAAAACCATTAGAGCATACCTTAGCTCCTTGCCTGCCAGTCAGTCCCGGTTTGCCCTGTTCACCCTTTTGTCCCTGCAGGTGAGAGCGCACAATTTTATGAGGATTAATCTTGTAGTACTGTCATCAGTAAGGTCTAAAATGGAAAGCTTTAGTCTTTCACGGCAATGGCAAGGTGAATGTGACTTGCTCAGGGGGAGAAACCTCAGGGCAAGACTTGCTTTGGGGTACAGCTCCACATCTGTGGGGAACACTGCAGGCCCCTCACCCAAACCTGCCCTGGTAACAGCACAGCACGCTGCACCCAGCCCACGGCGGAGCTGCTCTGTACAGCGCCCGCACAGGAGGCTCTGGTTCGTTCTCCCTCTGCAAGCTCCCGTTTCTGAAAGGGAGACCCTGATCACAACGCGAGAGTCTCACACTCAGCAACTCCCCGTCCCAGAACTTGGGCCGCCTGCAAAGCGGTGCTGAGCACCAGGTGTCAGCAAGACCAGGAGGGAAGCAGGCTGCTGCTCAGGCTTTTGGCGAGCACATGCATGCGAGGAAAAGGGACTCCTCAGAGCTTATGCAGGTGAATGCTCTGCGAGTCAGTAAACTGAAATGGGAACAGAGCGCTGACATGTCTCCGTCGTGACAGAAAGTTTTCTTTCTGCTAGCCGGGGCAGTGCAGCTCTGCGGTCCGTCACTGCGTGTTCTCTGCCAGGCTGGAATGTGTTTAGACTGCCTGCGAAGGTCACTTTGGCATGATGGACATGATGTTTTGCTAAGACATATGTGAAATACAATTCTTACAACATAAATTTGGATAAGATATTTGTAAGGTCACTATGACACTAATGGTATCATTAAAGTGAAACTGAAGTAAATACAAAAGAACCAAATATGTTTAAATATATTTGAACAACTATAGCTTTTAAATTAGTACAAAAATGGGGTCATTTTGATTAAAAAATCGCACATATTAAGAATTATAGCATGACAACATGACAGTTTTAATATCAGTCATCTTGTTTCAGGCCAAGGCAGCTGCAACCTTGACAATAACTTCTCTTTGTAAAATAATGTCTTTGAGCCTAGTGATTAAAAATTATCCATTTTGCCTCTTGATTTAAGTTGAAGTAAAGGTATAAGTCTTTTTCAGAAATTTCAGTGTGACTAAACAGAATCAAACTCAATAGAATTAATTTTGCATAACTTGGACTGTGTCTCAAACTCATTAGACAGTCAACAGCAAGCAACAGGATTTTTTATTTTACACAGGAGAGACAACATCTATGAAGCAAGTGTATCTCTCCTGCGTAAATCTGTGTAGACACAATATGTCCCAAGACCAGCTGTGTGAAAGGAAATGTTTCACCATGTATGCAAATCAACATTTTCAAACACATTCTGCAATGGGAAAAAGCTGCGACAGGAAGATATGACGGTGATAAACAGATGACTATTACTTAGAAAACGTTTAGAAGGCTTCCTTCATTACCGGTAAGCCAGGTGGACCCGGGGCACCATCTTTTCCAGGTTTACCCTATAAGGGAAAAACATAAAATAAAACTAATTAAGAGGATCAAAAGAGGGGTCATTGCATTCAAAGAGCATGACAACTTAAATGCTGTGCAAATATCTAGTACAGGTACTTTTAAATACTGAAAGGCCATTGAAGTTACTTTTAAAAATATGTTCATCACTTCTAATCACATCTGATGTTCATAAAACTCTACAAAACAGGGACTAAGATATCCCTGGACGTTTCTGTTCCTGCGGGAAACAGCGGAGACAGACACTTCACCAGCAGAGAGCGCCAGGCAAGTGCAGAAAGCTTGGCGCAACACCAGGTCTTTGCAGAAGTAAGACAAACGATAAAACAACACCGCAGCGAGCAGCCCTGCTCATGGTGAGGGAGACTCTCCTCTCACAGGAAATGGGGTTAAGTAATGACTTGAAGAGAAATTATTTAATGAAAAAAGAACAGGGAGAGCACTTCAAAGGTTTTGGGAAGTGGGGCAGTAGATGAAAAAGTGAAAACAGCAGGAGGCAGTGTGCCAGGGCTGTTGGCTGTTTCCTGCGGCGTGCAGCACATCGGGCAGCCTTCATTTCTACAAACACACTGGCACTGCAGCCGGTACGCGCTCAGAGGAGCACCTTCCTCACCACCTCGCACCAGAGAACTTTTACAGCAAAACAACTGACCTTGACTTCATGTACTCATGGTCCGTGAGCTATAAGAACAGTCATTTGACTTACAGCTCTCTCATCTGGTTTACTGGATGAAAGAGCTTTTGAATCTAAGAAATTTATTCTGAGTGGCATTGGAACAAAAACTGGAGAGTAATGTTAGTGCAGAAATGCTTTTCAGAAAAGATGAACATACGTGCATTTAACTGTTTGCACATACCTGGGCCCCAGGTTCTCCTCGGTCTCCCTTTTCACTTTGAGAATCACCAACTGGCCCCTGTAACAAAACCACCCTCAAGATACACAAATTTGGAGACTCATGTTTTCTAAATTTAATATATATTTTATAATTTTGTTATCGTAAAAAAATATTAAAGTACAGTTAGAATGCTACTAGGTACTCTATTTTACTCTTTAAAGGTTGGAATAAGTAGTGCAAAAACTGGACTGTAAAGAGTAGCATTTACTAGGTGGTGCTGCCTGAACATCTGGATTTAAGGGATTTACGTCCAGTCACTTACTGTAAACCCCATTGGCCCAGGAAGTCCTCTTGATCCTTTTTCTCCTTTCTCTCCTTTCAAGTCCTGTTACACAGAAAATAAAGGTTTAATACAGTCTCTTGGATTTTTTCAGTGCTAACCTAACACTCAAGTTTTACAAACAGGAAATCCTTATGTTACCAGTAAGCTTTTCCTGTGCTCAGAGATCCCGAGCAGGTGGGTTACTCATAAGCATTTAGCATTCCAGTGGCCTTGTGCAGATGTGCGCAGGAACGCCCAGCCCTCAGCTGAGCTGGCTGTGAGGACACGCGCTCAGAAGAGACGAGGGTCTAACTAAACAAGTCTGACAAGTGTTAGGATGGGTAAAAGGAAATGTTATCGGAAGATGAAAAGGTGCTTTCCAAGCAAAACCTAGCAAGATGTCTTATTTGAACATGATGTTTAACAATTCTAGTACCGTCATGTTGTCTGGTCCACTTAGCGTTACGATAACAGTTCCTGGTGGCCCAGGGGGTCCAGTTAACCCAGTGTCACCCTTGAAAGAAAAAGGCAAAACAGAGCAATTACAAGCAGTGTAGTTTGACTATTTCAAATGACTATCGCTATATTTTGACATCACAAACAATCTTCTGTCATTACTCTGGGCTGTTAATGCAGTTAACATTTCTCTTTGCTTCCTATTTATTTTCCAATAGAAAAGGCATATGGAAGACTCAATACTACGACAACTTTCTGCTAGCTGAGAAATGCAAAACCGCATGTGCTGATTTCTATTTAAAGTATCTAGAATTAGCTTCTATTTTTAATACTATTTGTCTAAAAGTTATACAATCATTTTACCTCTAAACCAAATAAAAATATCTCCTTGATTATAATTTTTCTGTCAATTGGGTTAAGTCAATCAATGAAATACATGAACAGTCTTTGGTGATATCCTCAAAACTGCTGTTTGTGTATTACAGGGAGACGATTGCAACATAGTACCAAGACATTAAATTAGCATTCACGTGTCTTTAACCGAAAACATAAGCATCGCAGTACACGTTTTCGTTAAGGATCTTTTAGAACGGAGAAAGTCCTAAATGCGATCTTTCCTGTGGAGCTGAACAACCACAGAAGCTGTGAGTCTACAGATGGTGTATATTTAGCAGTGTTGACATGCTTAGGTAAGCATTTAGGAACACTTTGCACAGGATATATACATGAATTTCATGTTATGCATTCGCACATATTAACAACTGGCTCCTCTTAGGTTTCCACCCTTCTGTCACGAAGTTGGTATTATTGGCTCCTACAGGAAAACAGTTTGTCCTTAGATATTAATCGCCATGTTTCCATTTTCCAGTAAAAGACTTCCACATATATACTGAAAGTTTTTATTTCACAGTACTTACTTCCCCAAACATTTCACCACAATATATCAGAAAAAGAAGAAAACGAAAACAAAACTGAAAAATTGCTTCAAGCATTTTATACAATTACCTTTCTTCCTTTGGTTCCTATTACTTTCAGTCCCATAAGACCCTGTAAAAAACAAACAAGCAAACCCACAAATGTTATTTTTTTTGGTTTAAAAACACCTATAAAATGAGTTAATTGATGTTACACATAATAGGAAGTTTTCATTTTTATTACCAATCTGAGACTACCTTAGGTCCAGGAGGTCCTGCTCTCCCTGGCATGCCCTACAAAAAAAAATAATAAAAAATCCTTAATTAAAAAATTTCAATCTTCGGCATCAATATAGGTGTTTGGAAGTACCCAATTTTCACATGAGTTACATCACTATTTCTCGTCTTTCTTCCACCTTCACAATCGCGATTTGTCTAGTGTGGGTTGATACAGTCTAGCTGCAACCATATACATCTCTCTTTTGGTTATACACATTAGCATTTAAAGTGAATTTAGGGATAATTATTTGAAAATCAAAATTTATGACTGCACGGACAAGGATTCTTCTGAAAACATGGAAATTGTCATGCAGAAAAATAATCAAAAGAAATACACAGATGCGTGCAGGAAGATACGGATTTCACATACACGTCTCTGGGCCTTGAACAAGTCTGGGAGAGTCAGGCACCTGGAGTTGTGTGAGTCCGTCAGTGTCTGGGAAACTGAAGCTTGAGGTAACAAGTGAGACATAAGTTCATACTCACTAAAGCTCCCGGAGGGCCCGGTGGTCCAAGTTCCCCAGGATATCCTTGAGCACCCTGGGCACCCTGCATATTGGAAAAGAAACAGGGATAAATCTCCTGGCAAGATTATGAGCAAACCACAATACTAAATTCAAAGAATTGAATATATATATATATATAAATCATCATAGAATTGGTCTGGTTGGAAAAGGCCTTTATAATATCACGGCCCGAAATAATTCTGACTTACCTGAAGCCCAGGCATTCCCGGCAATCCAGGATCACCTTTCGCACCATACTCTTGGTAATATCCATCTGCAGCACACCCCTGGACAATCAGATAAAATGGAAGATAAAAAGTTATGCTGTAGAACTCTGCAGTGGAAAAAATCTTCTGATACAGTTTGTAGGGACACATGCAACATCAGAGCTGCATAATGATGGCAACTGTCCACTACAGATATTTCTACCTTTAAAAAAGATTTTATTAGATAGAGTATACCTTTTTCAGGCACTGCAGTTTTCTGTTTTGAGCAGCCTTCATTAAGGGTTAAATTCACTACATGCAGTAACAGTGACCCAGGGTGAATACAAGTAGTACAGACAGCGCAACAAAGTTTGTGGTTGCCTCTTCTGGGAAGGAAGCCTCTTTCCCAAGGAGATGTTAAGAGCTCTCTTCCAGCAGCAAACATACACACAAATCATTGATCGCCAATAAATACGTCACGTAATATGGTGTAAGTAACTGACCTTCTCTCCTTTGATGCCAGCAACACCCTAGGAAGAAGAACAATCATATTATCAAAACAAGTTCAAAAGGAAGCGATACAATAGCGAAAGGACACATCCTAAAAGTTCTCCGAGCTCAGGGCCTGTGAAGTGATTTGTGTTCAAGGACACAGCGTACAGGCAGGTACCTGTTCCTGTGCCAGAAAGGGCATGTTGATAAAAAATAGTCCAGTCTCCCAGCTGCAGCTCCACAAGTGTAGGCAGAACAGTATTGAAGCCTGAACTTAGTAAATAAGTAAATAAAATCAGGAGAGCTGGTAAGGTGAAGACATTTACTTGATCAGTAATAGATGTGAAGCCACTGGAACTTGACAGACAGCATTCTCTTTTTCCCTTTGCTTACGGGTGTTTTTTTTAAAAAACACCTTTCTACAGAGAAAAACTAAATTGTAGGGTTAAAGCAATGGGCTGAGAATGAGAAATTCTGGGTTTAATTCCTTAATTAAGCCATATCATCAGAGATATTTTGGCAAGAACTGAAACTGCAATCTACTAATTAGACATTGGACACCTTTAGAGATGGACCCCTTAAGAGACGCATGCACTCTGTAACTAAGAAGTTGAGGCCCAACATGCAGCTGACAGAGCACTGGCTGTAACTGTGGTACCTTTATCACACCGCTCTCACATCAATACAGTGTGAATACCTATATATTCCAACTGTTGCCAGTGCCAGCTAATGTGAGGCTTTACCCTCCTTCAGTGAATGGCTTTATGGGGGAGAAATGCACAGTCATGAATTCCACAGACACCTACGGCAACGCCTGGAGGACCTCTTCTGCCTGGGGGGCCTGGAAAGCCTTGGTCACCCTGAAAGTAGGAAGAGTGGCTGTTAACGCATATGATTCGTTATTATTTGGTCTGATTACACAAGAAGTTTTTTTGTTATCATACTGAAGTTGTGAGTTGCATCACCACCATTATTTGCTAGAAGTGGCACAGTCTCACTGTACGGATCTTGAGTTCTACTCCAGACACCAGGCTCTATTAGCTGTGTCACAGGGACTCACTCTTTCATTAGAGATCTTTGCTTTTTGTAGTAGGTATTCTTGTGACTCTCTCTTTCAGAATATTGGAAATGTTTGCTCATAATTTAACATTAAGCCTTTCTTCTAATTCCTTTCAGGACTTACGAATTGTCAACTGCAAGCTAGATACACTATGGAGAAATAAAATTAATTAACTACCTATGTCTTCTATAACCTATTTCATCAGAAAGACAGGCTGGACAAAACTGATTAAGTCTTCTAGATTTAACAAAGACTCTTATCTGTCAAAATATCAAACACTATTCGTAACATTTTAGCAAAAGCCATTAACATGCATTATTTAATTATCTATCTTACACAAAGAGGCAGCACTTTCCCTTCCTCTGGCCTCAGGATTCAACTTTTTTTCTAGCTGATAAAGTCACAAACTAAACAAATCGAAGTTTTTGTATATCAGGGGAAGAATTTAGAATGCTTTTCAGCTATTCCCAAGCGTAGCCAAACGCGATCTCCATAACACTCAGCTTGGTTTGTACCTTTGTGCCGTTGCATCCTGGAACACCCGGGCGCCCAGGAGGACCAACAGTTCCTGGTTCACCCTAGAAAGAAGCGCAAAATTGACACAGGCTTTGTTTTTGCACATTTATATTACCCTACGGCAACGCTGAAAGAGTTTATGTTGGAGCAGTGTTTCACAAGACATGACAGATTACAATGTGTTCTTAAATCATTACGATGAGTAAGAACTGCTGATGCTAAGATTTTTATCTCTAGGCTAATTGGCAGAGACAATGTTGATGTTGAGACTAGAGAGAGCACACTGGGCTGAGGATAACTGTGCGCTGAAGACTGTAGTAAGAGAGAAACGGTTACATTGCTTTCATTTTTACTTACTGGAAGGCCTGGGGGACCTGAAAAGCCAGGTATTCCCGGGAGTCCCTAAGGATATAAAACCAGAGAAGTAACATTACAGTTATCAAGCGAAAGCTCACGATGAAGCTTTCCCTTTGATCGCATTCATAAGAATAGTGAATGCCAGCATGATTCTTTCCAAAGACCATGTTTCGTTAACCCTTCTGACTGAGAACGAAATATAATCATAGCTTACACAGGTAACAGAGGCTGGTTTCGCTCACAGAAAAAAGTCAGTCTGACATTTTCATGGCATACCCCAATATTAAATGTGTACAGCACGAACCTTGTGCATAAGGTGTTGCAAAAAAGGAAAATGTTCTAAAAAACAGATAATGCATGTGCATATTCCGTGTCATAAATTTTAAAACCACTTTAAAATCATATGTTATTTTTCAAAAATTATTGAAGAAAGTTGGCATTTAACATGACATTTAATACATACAAGTTTGTTTAAAATACAAGTACTTACTCGTATACCTTTGGGTCCAACTAAGCCTGTAAGCCCTGGAGAACCCTAGATCACAAATGGGAAACAGCATAATTCAGTAACTGGAAAAAAGCACCATGAGTATCGGTCCCACAAAGTATTGTAACAACAAGACAGGACAGAATAATGCAACAACACCCAAACAAATTAAAACTATAAAATCCCATTTATTTAAAGGTATGGCTCAGTGCCAGAGCCACACTGGTGCAGGTCCTAGGCATAATGTGATTGTGGCAGTATCTTCCTGACTTATAGTGGGGCTGAGTTCACATCAGTTTACACACAAATAATTTATTCATCATTTTATGGAATGATCAATTTATTTGGTTTTTCTGCTCATGCAGCAGTCACTGAAAATTCATATTTGGCCTCAGTTTAGGCATACAGGAAAGCAAGAAAGCCCAAGTCACTGAAGTCACTCTCTCCACACTGCAGGCAACGAGGTATCTCCTAAACAGAACAAGATTTATCTTAAAACCCATCTTCCCCTTCAAATTTTCTTAAATCTATTTTTCATATATGTCTCAGCAGTAGCTTGCTTCCTTGCTTTCCAGCACAACGTGTCAGAGTCTGCTGGTAAGACAAAACTGAGGTTATGCTGCTAAAATCTATTTGCACCCAGGTTAGTTGGCTCTGGCTGTCCAGTCCAGGTGCTCTAGTACTGGCCAATGGGCAAGGGACAGCACAAACAACTGGAGCTGGTGACCGCACGCCATCCATCACCAAGAGCAGATGCTGAAGGGGGTTTTGTTTCGGCGTTGTTTAAGACGGGCTTCTTCCCACAGTCACAGCTCCCTCTCACAGCCAAGGCAGGAGTTCCTCTGTCTGACACACACTCACCTTTGGGCCCTGTGGCCCTGGAGGCCCTTCTGGACCAGGAAAGCCTCTATGACCAGGTGGACCTGGAGCACCAGGAAAGCCTTTTTCACCCTGTAAACATTAAGAAAACAAAGTTCTTAAAATAGGCATGAACCCTCCTTTTGATAACTTATTTCTAAGGCCTTTGTTACTTTCAGTACCTGTTAACTTTTCTACGTATCTGTCTGCTCCCGTGGCAGACCTATTGCCCTTGCGCGCAGCAGTGCAGCATGCTCAGTCCTACCCCAGTGAAGAGCTGCATGCTCAGGACCTTTTACACCACAGCATGACATGGGAGAGAGAGGATGAGCTTCACGATTCTCTCCAAGTCAATTCTCCTATTGCTTTATTGGGGAGAGCTATACAAAAAAAACCTTGAAATTTTGCCATGCAGAAGTTCCAGCATCTTCTTTACTGATCTATGAGATAGGACCCAAAAAGAAGCCTTGGGGAAGCCAAAACACCTTGGCTCGTCTCTCCACCAATTCTCGCTCTCAAAGCCCCACAAACTCACCAGATTTTAAATAGCTTCTGGATTAAAAAAAGCCCAAAAAACAAAAGGCATAACGATAGAATATAATCCCAGAATATTTTAACACAGATCAAAACAAGAGCTGCGCTACGCAGCGCCTGTGAGACGTGTGTGAGGAACCAGCACGGCTGTTCACAGGGAGCCCTGCGAAGGCAGGAGGGGACGCTGCCGTCCCCCGCGGTGCCACTGGAGGGGGCGCGGGCAAAGCTGCAGAATTTGGGAGCATCGCAGCGCCAGAACACGCCGATGAGTGGGACTCACTGCAGCAGGGCAAGCAACCGCAACTCGCACCCAGTAATTGCGCAGTTGCTTTAACACGGAACTGATGAAGACAAGCTGTGGGTGTTCATTCTTACTAATATTTCTCCTCTAGAGGGCAGCTTATTTTTTTCTAATTTTTCAACTGGTCTCAATTTTACTGGTTAGGAAAAAGTCAGGTTAGACCAACCAAGAACATGAAAAACAAGCACTGAGATTTTACTAAAGACAAGAGAGCATTCTGCTTTCCATTATGAAAATATGTTTTAAGGATGAACGTATTTACTTCGAAAGAACTTTTCTCCAACGTGGAAATGAAGCTTCCTACAAGCAAGACCAGCAGCATTTACTGTGGTGCCATATGACATTTTTTTATTGGTAACAAAAGTACAGGAGGAAAGCTGTAATTCTTCACCAGCGAGATGTATTGATCAGTGGGACTAAGCACAAACTTAAACCTACACAGACACTGGGAATCCATTGATGAGGTTTAGTGCAGCAATCACAGCATCCGCAGTTAGCCTGAATTACAACCATGACTTCTGTAATAATGCCCCTTTCATTTGTGAATCAGTTGTTTTTCCAACTACAGGCAGGATTTTGAAAGAATTTTTGGCATTTGTGTAATTCAGGTTTGTCTAAAAGCCACCCAGAGCCTCTGCCAAGCTGCTGCTGGCAAGAGCCCGAGCTGCAGCCCCGCTCCTTGTGATGCTGTTCCCTGGCTGCTGGCAAGGTGTTCGTGGTTAGGGCCTCGAAACTCATCCCTGCCAACGCCTGCATGGATTAACAATTTCCAGGTATAAGCTAATCTTAAAAGAGGAAAAATGTATTTGTTCTTACCTTACTACCTTTCATGCTATCACAAAAGCAGGGACTTTTACCTTTGCATACACAGCTCTGAAAAACAAAAAGACAAACTTTTATAATAAAGCTATTTTTCTCATTGTGCTGTTTGGCAAGATGCAAATGAGATCTCAGTGGTTTTAGTAAGGTAATTATTTCACAGATAATACAACTTTAAAAAAAAAGAAAGTCTGTGGATAGTGGCATGGAAAAGAGCTTGTTACTCTGCTGTACTGTCTTCTGAAACAGGTAAGGGCATTAGTTTAATTTTATAATTGGGGTAAAGGCCAAGAAGCCATGCATTTCATAGAGATGTGGCGTGAACTACATTTATTGTCCTTCTTTGCAGACTTAAAATATTTCCTTTGGTTTTGAAGCTCTTGCTGAATTTTTTCAATTGTACCACTGTAGAGAGTTATTTTTCAGTTTATCCTCCCAATTTAGTATATAAGCTTACTGTAATGACCATAGACTACGTTACAGTTACAGATGACATGGGGCAACTATTATAGAAAAATATAGCCCGTGAGGCAACTATTATAGAAAAATATAGCCAATATAAGTTGCATAAAATTCAGAAAATAAGGAAGAACTGTATTTTTTCTTACAAGGTTAAAGTCTTTAAGATGCTATGGATGAAATTTCTATTTAGATCTTGAAGACAGAATTAATTAACCCATACAGCTGGTCATAACACAACAGCAGCACCAGTCCAAATTTCCAACTTTTCCAGAACACAAAAGAAAAAAATATGCTCTCCATTACATTTGAAAATGATAAAGCCAGAACGTCATGAAATCAAAATTTTCCTGTAGCAATCTGTGCAGGCAAACCATGTTACAGAATTGAAAAGCATCTTTTCTTCCCGCAAGCTTGCGTCGGTTTCTTTCTCACCCAGAACTGCAGTACGTGGAATCAGCATTTCTTACACAGTTCACGGTGTTCGTCTTCTTCCTTTGACTACACAGGGAAACCTGGCATCTAGTTTGGACCAACCCTTGCAGTCTCTTTAGCGCCTGTTTTAGGATGGGGAAAGATGCCGCAAATACTCGCTGCTGTCCTCTGTGGACCAGACAGTTACTCACGGTAGCTGCCTGTCTTTTAGTTGGCTGAAGTTAGGTGAGATGACACCATCTATTAATTAAAGAAAGAGGTGAAGGGGGGACTCCTTGAGCGAACAATTATTTAAACATCAGTTTACAAAATGAAACAGAAATTAGAATCATCTGGCCATGAAAAGCAAATCCCCCAAGAAATGATTGTCTGGCTGTGTTCTATTGACAGATCTGTAGGTGATTACTTGATGTTGCAAGCTAGATTTTTAAAAAGCTGAAAACATTAAATACTTAATATTTTGTCATATTTAAAGACTCTTTCTGCCTCTGATCTGACAGCAAAAATTCAAGTTGCACTTCATGAGAAATTTGGAAAACAAAGGTGTCATGTAAAACAGAAACCATGTGACTACGTCAGCTTAACTATTATTTTAATGACTATCATTACATCACCAGAGACACAAGAATAAACACTAGTGCAGAATTAACCACGGAGTCCTGATCTCTTCCCACTGAGGTCTGTCAGTTTGGCACTGGGTAATCTACGTTCACTAGTAAGTTATATAACAGGTATCTTAAGCCTTTGAGCACAAATACCGGAGGATAAAGTGACATGTACCTCAAATCTGTCAGTCTGTGGGGCAACCAATGCTCCTCAGGCCTATTCAGTTAACGGTACCTTCCATCGTTCAAAACAGGTGACACAGGTTACAGGTACGTGTCTGCGCAGCAGCGTGAAACCAGTGACTGCGCGGTGTTCAGCATCCCAAGGAATGACGTAAACAACAGCACGCAACCAAAATAGTCTTAAACTGCAGGCACTGCATTTTGCTGCTGCACATGGCTGGTGAGGGACTCGGGTCACCACGTGCTTAAGGTTTGCTGATGAAAATTGTGAATTAACTACAAGACCTATGAGACTCGTTTACTTGGCAATCTCAACTGCTGAAGCAAGATTTATCTTACAGATTTAGTAGGCACATGTCTGAGACCAGGAAAGGTGCTGTTTACTAAGGAAAAAATGCTTCCAATATTCCCAACTCTCTGGATTTCTTCAGTGTAACTGGAAGCATATCCTGGCCGACCAGAGAGAGCTTTCCTGAGAAACAGGCACAGCCAGCTGCTGATCTTCCTAGGACCAGCCATCCACCCTTATAATTCTGTAGCCCTTCATGGAGTCGCACCTTATTTCCACCTATGAAAGCAAAGCTAGAAGCAGATTCTTTACAGTACTTGCATGCAAAGCACAGTTTTCAGGACATGCAGAGAAATCCCCGAATGGAATGACTCTTCTGTAATAGGTATGATCGGCAGAAGACCTGATACGTACACATACAGAAGAAACTTTTTCTTTTAGCTTACAACCAAAGATAATCCAATGTGAAGTTAAATGCATGGGCATCTGGAAATTTATGACACTACACAACTAATCAGGGTTATTAAACCATTTAAAGAAAAAGAGCCTTTGCTCTTCAAGAAGTCAGAATGCTTAGAGTACGTTTAATTTGCCATTAGTAAGCTTTCAGATCAATTTAGGTCTTTCTGAGTAGGTCTGTCACTTTAAACTAAACTGAAAAGACCAAAGATGACTTTACACTGCACAGTCAGTCAGCTGGATAACACTAAATGTTTTGGCATATGATTTTTACATAAGATTAGATTATGCCTTCTCTAAAGGAGCTTTGACCCAAGAAATCATTGCTCACTTACACTACTGGATGTTTCCACATCCCTGCAAGATGCCTGCGGCTCCTTTATCAAAGGATCATAACAAAACAGTAGAACATTGCCAGGTTATAAGATAAGGAAATGGAATGCTAGTTGTTAATGCTTTATTCAGAATCTTCACAATAACATCTATGTAAGTGAATGCATTAACAAAGCCACGGACTTTTCAGTTTTTCAATTTTGTGATTTTGATAACAATCATCTACATTTATTTCAAGTATTCGGATATAGTAGATGGCATTCAACTTCTAAGCCAAAAATCTAGGCTGAAGGATAAAGCCAGATCATTATATGAATAGCAAATCAAATTAATTTACCAATGAACTAAAATTTTAGAAACACAACACCTTCTTGAAGCTCCTTTCAAAAGTGTTTTGAGTGGTAGTAGTGGTATCATCCATTGATCTCTTTTTGGAATGATATATATGATGACAGAATAGTCAGTTTGCTTTTCCAGATCTAGAGAAGATCTGAATAGGCCAGTCATGATTTCAAAATACACACTTTTAATAAAAACACTGCACCCGGGAGGGACAGAGAGGCAGCAAAGTGTGCTGTTGCAGGGAACAGGCACCGTATGCTTGAAGTATGTTTCAGATGAAGACTACATCAAGCCCACACAGAATGAGCAATAAAGACATTCAAATGAAAGCTGA